CCAAAAGATGAAATTTAAAACCTGTTGATGAATATATATTGAGTATAAGATAGTGGAACTATATATTTTAATAGTTCATTCCTCTCATGCATGAAGATTGCAAATGGCTGAAGATGTCATATGAAACATAAAATTTTTTTTTGCGTACCCATAGAAAAATCTAATTTAAAGCTTTTTTCAAAGTTTGACAAAATTTTCTAGGATTATAGGACTGTAAAAAGTATTTTTTTTTAATCGTCAGTATATATATATATATATATATATATATATATATATATATATATATATATATATATATATATATATATATATATATATATATATATATATATATATATATCAAAAAAAATATTTTATCAGGCAAAATGTTTTAACAACCATGCGTAATAAAAATATATAGTTAAGTAGAGAGTTCGCCATAGTATAAAGCTGAGACTGTGAGATGCTCTTTTAAGCCGGTTTAAGTAGCAGTTTCTATTTGAGCTTAAACGCTTTGGTTATCCGATTCAAAAGTTCCCAGATCACGTTCTGTGGTAGTTACCTCTAGTTGTCTACGAGTGCCATCAACATTCCCCATAAAGTATTTATAGCTAGAATTCTATGCGAGTCCAACACTTAAACATATCTCGGTGTTAAAGTACATGTGCTTAAAGTACATGTGCTTTCTATGGGACCAGTCGACTGCAGCCTCAATTGTTCCAACGTCATTATCCGATCGCGTTTGAAACTCTCCATGACCATGCATAACACAGACGTAAGTGAAACTGGTCTGTAATTGCTCTTTTTGAGTCAACTGTCTTTATTGAAGATTGGTATGATATTTGATTTTTTCCACTTTTTGGACACGAATTAAGCTTTCAAAAATAAGTGCAACTAATATAGAAAAAGCTACGAAACATCTTGGACCTTTATATATATTATTAAATATAAATATAAAATTTCCATTAGCATATATCAAACTAGAATAAAATAAGTTAAGTACATATATTAAAATTTAAATAGCCGTCACTTCGCTAAAATGAGAAAAGAAATTATTTTAAATTTTTTATTTTTAACAGAAATTTATATGAGTAGGCTGATTTCATAACATTGGTATTATTAAAACTGTGATCAAAACACATACAAAACTTTTTGATCGCATGATCAAAAAGTTTTGTATGTGTGTGTATAAATGTGTGTGTGTGTATATATATATATATATATATATATATATATATATATATATATGTATATATATATATATATATATATATATATATATATATATATATATATATATATATATATATATATATATATATATATATATATATATATATATATATATATATATATACATATATATATATATATATATATATATATATATATATATATATATATATAGTACTTTTGTAATTTTTGGTAAAAAGTTTCTATAGAAATAATAATTGTATTTCAATATAAATAATATGAAAAATTATTAACGAACATCAAGTCGACAGGCATGGAGTTAAAGTGCCATGCCACAAGTAATTCTCTCCGTAATATATGATAGTCAAGAATAGAGTATATAGTGTACCTAAAAAGAGTATATAGTGTACCACAAACTACCTTTAAAGAAAAATAAAAAAATTTTTTAAGTTTTTTTTTTAAAAAAGCGTGTGAAAAGAGTCAAATGATTATTTATTTATTTACAGTATAGGTATAATATGTTAAAAAAATCATCGACATTATTACTCTTTGACAACCTATATGTATTATAGCCCAACAAAAATATATTAAATGTTATAAATATGTTATAAGTTTTTTCTTATTAGATTATAAGTGGTTAAATTAGTACTTTTGTATTTTAGTTCCGAGTGGTTTAAAAATAGTATATAGAGGAAGAAAATCAACTTGTTATGCACACAGAGGAATAAAATGAACTTGTTATGCACATTCAGCTGACGGAGGTTACATCAACCGTTCATGTCATAGGGGCTTTAACCGAGTGACTGTGGATTCTTTTTTTACTTTATTGGAAGAAGATACAAACAAGCTATATGTTGAAAATATCTGGAATTTTGAAGAAATAGGTATTTCTACAGTTTCAAAGTGTCTTTCTAAATTTTTTTTAACAAAAGGGAAAAGACAATTTGCTTCTCTCACTTCAGCTGATAGGGAATAGCTTGTCGCAGCCATTATTTGCTCTTCAGAAGGTGGTAGGTACATGCCGCTCATGATAATCTTTCCTTTTAAACGAATAAAGCCAGAACTAATGGATGGAGCACCTAATGGTGCTCCATTCATTAGTTCCGGGCTGAATGTCACTAAATTGGGTGGATACAAAAAAAACTGTTTAATATTTGGTTAAGAAAATCTAATACTCAGGGGGAAAAATATCTTCTTCAGTTCTACTTATTTTAGATGGGTTTAAATTTCTCACTTAGGTATTGAATTGATTAACATTGTGAGAGAGAATGGTGTAACTATTTTGTGTTTGCCTCCTCATAGCACATATCGAATAATGCTCTTGGATTTGGATTTTATAAAGCCACTTAGCACTTAATATGACAGTAATATCAGGAAATAATTGAGAACAAATCCTGGGCGTATGGTCACCTAATTCTAAATAGCTGCATTTTTGAGCTCAGCCTACCTGTAAGCTACCACAAAGACAAATGCCATTAACGGCTTTCAAAAAGCAGGCATATGGCCAGTTAATAGAAATGTTTTTTCCGAAGCAGACTTTCTGGCAACAGAAATTACTAAACAAAAACAGTGCCTCATTACTGGAATGAGTAAACGCAGATTTGATTTGAAATGAAAACATGGGAAACAATCTGCGTGTCTATAACCAATTATGCAGATGGTTGAATGACATGTTTTATACGTAGGGTACTTAGAAGGGTATTTTAATAAATGCAAAAAAGAACGACCGAAACTTTTAAGATTCACAGATCAATCGTTTGGCTGTAGATGTAATTGTTTATTATGCAAGAATGGCTTCCGTTCTCTTAAAATAACTATAAAACACCTGTTACAGGGAGGGAGGGGGGGGGGGGGGCAAAGTGTATGTGTTTAATGATTTATAAACGAATAAAAAGATATATTTACCAAAATAAAACAACAATGTTTAAGGCACACGTTAACTAAAATAAGAAATATAAATTGAAATTGAATAACTATTAGAAGTTGCTAATATGACTAGTTTTTTTATATTACATAAAGTTTGTGAACTTATATATATAACTATGCATATATATATATATATATATATATATATATATATATATATATATATATATATATATATATATATATATATATGCACAATTAATACAAGATGTTTACTCTCAAATACACTGTACAAGGGTACTAGCTTTTGCTTCCCCGAAATAACTGTTGATAACCGAAATAATGGTTTCTCATATGCCATTATTGCATTTATATGCAAAAGCATAACACAATCAAGGCCAGCGCAATGGGGGGGGGGGGGTTGATCCCCGTTCATTTAATCGGCAAATTTGACCGATTAAATGAACGAAAAAATCTAGACAGTCAGTCGGCCAATGTCGTTATGGCAGTCAGAGGGCAGTCGGTAAATTTTAAAAAACGAGGACTTTTTTTTTTTTTTAGTCGGCAAAAGTAGTAACGGCACCCCCAACCCCCACGTGACACCTACCCGCGCTGGCCCTGTACACAATCATTATTCCATAGCATAAAGTTGGATGTGTTTTTCAAAGTAAGATATATAAATTATTCTATTTCATATTCTTCAAAATTGTTATAAAGCAAGTAATTTACCAGTATCCAATGGCCTATATAATATAAGTATCCAAAGGCTTTTACTTGCCATAAATTATGCGGCACCTTCCTTAAATGACCATATATATAAAAATTACCAACAACCATTGTAATAATAATGTACTTGAATCTGTAATTTAACAAGATTAACCGGGAGATTAGGTATAATCAGTCCATTTTGCGACTTAAGGTATTGTCATGTCAGCATTTATAAGGCCTAAATAGTGCTTCTCTAGTAGCGTATACGCTAAAAAAGAAACTAATCTTAAATGTTGTTATGATATATCATAATGGTTGTTATTTATAATTTTCAGTTGTATAAGATTATTTTTGTATTAATCCTTTTATTTTTGGGATCTTTTTTAAGGATGGTATTGATTCTTGTATATATGATACATGCTTACTGGGTTCTATTTCTCGAAATTCGGCTAACGCAGCCTCCGTCTAAATTTATTTTACTTGTATCTATTTTTGGGAAAGGAAATTACTTGTACTGTAAATAACTTTTAAAGGAAATAACTGATATTAAAGCTTATCGTTTATGATTTCTTTTTTTGATAACAACTTCTGTTTATGATTTTCAAAACTTTTGCTTATGTTATATCAACCTAAAAATCGCATATCGACGATTTTTAAGTTGATATAACATAAAAGCATTAAACGGCTACATAATTTCCATTATGACCATAATTATAATTCTTTAATTGTTAAAAAATAAGAGTAAAAAAGTTTAAACTACGAACGACAATAACATTGTTGTATTAGTTGTAATTAGTTGTAAACGTGTTGTTGTGGTAATAATATATTCAAAATTTAATATTTTTATTTTTTTAATTCTGCTGTTTATTATCTTAGAGAAATTATTGTAGAGTGATAAACTTTGAAAATATGCTTGTGGATCATAAGTTTATCAGTTGGTTAGTAATTTTAATTTGTTGGTTATAGACTTTATTGCGATTCATTCATAACTCTTTTTAATTAGGTTATTAAATTTTCCGTTTACAAAATTTTGAACTTTATCAGATTACGCCCACTTTAAGAACAGATTTTTTCTTAATTACGGATATTCATAGGAAATGCAAACGAAATACTAAGCTGACGACGTCAATTTCAGATGCATACGTCATTTTCAGAGGCTATTTTTGTCTGAGACTGTAGTCAATAAGTATTCAAAATAAAAAAGATCAGAAAAACCGTGTCTCTTGTGTTATTGGTGCGGCTTTTCCGATAATTTTTTAAATACAATGTGTTTTAAAATGTTACTTAAAAAATGTATAAGAAATTTGATAGGAAGCAAAAAGAAAATAACATTCTTACACTGGAGGATAAAAAAAGATATTTTTACATTGTCTTTTGGATGACGTGGTAAACTTTTTGTTTGATTGCTTAATGAAAATGTTTTTAGACGTATATAAATTTTTTCTGCATTCATTTTTTAAGATTTTCTAGTTAATTAAGTTCAAATACTAGTTCATTAAGCTTGTATACATATATAACTTAACTTTTTTCTATAATTATCTTTTATTATGATTGTTTATTTATCTAGAAAGAAAAGAACAAGTAAACACTCTAGTTACTTTTACAGGCTTATGATATTTGTGAGATGTCCCAAACCCTTCTTGAAAGTTTGAGTAAAAAGAAACTTTTTTTGTTTTCTGCATTTTTACTTATTGGGATTTCAGGGTTCTTTATACTTGGTGGCATAAAAGGTAAATTAATATTTTTTTTATATGGTCAATAACGGTATTAATACAACTGTATAAAAGTCATTATAATATTATATAACGTCATTTTCGGTTATTTCTTTCTTCTTGATATATTATTGAAAAAATTAGGTTATTTGCCTTAGTTATATGAAATTAAGCATAGAAAATTGCTTGTAAATTGATTATAAAAAAATTTTAAATTTGTTTTTTTACTTTTATATATTTAGGCGCTGACCCTGCTACAGCCAATATACATATTGCCAACTTGTTTAAAACAAATAATTTAAAAAAATATAATTTTGCTAATCCTCAAGATTGGGTTTGGTATCGAGTTAACAATCCTGCTGAAAATGATAAACAAGGTTACACTGAAGAAGATTTTATACATATATTACATTCTGGAAACAAATCTCAGAGAATTACACCTGAAAATCTTGGTAAGTTTTTCTTTTTTGCATTTAAAGTTATAGTAATTTAAAATAGTAATATGTAATCAAGAAATAAAGTTATAGTAATTTAAAATAGTAATATGTAATCAATCAATCAAAACTCATTAGTTTTTAAAATTTAAAAGTTATCAACACACATCGAGAAGCATGCTGGCAGCTTTAATTATTTTTTTAATTTTTAAAAAAATGGCTATATATAAAACTATTTTTTGTAGAATCAGCAAATTATCAGAAATTAAAAGCATTAAAATAAATTCATTAAACAAAGGTTTATCTCTTAGGGCACCTAATCTTAATAATAAGCTATTTTAGGTAACCTTATGTCTAAGATTTTTTTAACCCAACTTAACGAATCACCTCTAAATACCTTTTAATTATTAAAATACATTAAATATTAAAAAACTTTTAAATACTAAAAAACACAAACATATAACCCATTTAAAAATTGTGAATGTTAAAGTTTACCATGTGAGTTTGAAATGAGGAGTAGAATATTGTGTTTATATATTAGCAACAAACTAAATAAATCTAATAAAAACAGTAATAATATTTTTTTGTTCTTTTTATTTAGGCACAAACATGGCTAGACTTATTGACAAAACACATTCAATTTAATATATATATATATATATATATATATATATATATATATATATATATATATATATATATATATATATATATATATATATATATAATATATGTATATATAATATATGTATGTATAATATATGTATGTATAATATATGTATGTATAATATATATATATATATATATATATATATATATATATATATATATATATATATATATATATATATATATATATATATATATATATATATTTGCTGTAACAGCAATAAATTCATTGCTGCAGAGCATACTGAGATGCTTTAACAGCCGTTAATGTTATAAATTGTCATAGTTAGCTTTAAAAAAATTTAAGGATCTTGAACAAACAACATAGTTAGGTAAAGAGTTCCATTTTTTAATTATTCTGTTGTTAAAGAAATTATTTTCTGAGGAACACTTAAATTTCTCATGTTTAATTCTTTTACTTTTACTTATGTCCACGTATGTTTAATGAAGGACCGTCACTAGTTAGACAGGAAACCAATTTGGTATTTTTGAACCAATTCATAATTTGTAAACCTTTTGTTATTTTATAGTGGTATATTAAATCCTCCCTAGTTCTTCGATTTTCTAAAGTTGTTAAATTTAATTTCCTAAGCCTTACATTGTATGGTAGGTTTTTGAGATCTCAAATAAGTTTTGTGGCTCTCCTTTACACTTTTTCAAGTTTTAATATGTTGTTGTTTAGAGTTGGATTCTAAACAGGTAGTGTAAATTCAAGATGAGGTCTCACAAGTGTAATATACAATATTTAACTATATCGGAGTTTAAATAAAAGTCCTTTTTATCAAACCCAGTGACCTTTGCATTCTAGCAACTGCTGATTTTCTTTTTTCATGCCATTTTAGATCAGATGATGTTAATACACATAAGTCTTTTTCTAATTTTGTTTCTTTTATTTCGTGGCTTTTATCTGTATCATTAATGGTATACTTGAGTGGAATTTTTTATTACAGATATGTATGACTTTACATTTTTCTTTATTGAGTTTTATTCCCCAAGTATTACACCAGACCATTACTTTATTAATGTCAGTTTGAAGTAGATTTAGTGCTTTTGAATAGCTTTCATCATTGTCAATAGTTGGAATTAATTTGCTGTCGTCAGCATATAATTTGCGTTTAAAAGTTAACAGGTCAGGAAAATCGTTTATATATATTTTAAAATTTTTGATCCAAGCTAACTTCCCTTTAATGCCATAGGATGATAGTTTTTTAATTAAATGTTTATGTGGATATTTGTTGAAAGCTTTTTCAAAATCCATGAATAATAAGTCAACCCCCTTACCATCGCAAGAAGCACTTGTAATGATGTTCAAAGATTCTAGCAAGTTTTTCGCACATGATTTTTGTTTAACAAACCCATACTGTTGTTTAGAAATCAAATCATATTTTTGCAGATGATTCAGTATAATTTTTTGAATTATACTTTCTAAAAGTTTACAAAAAACTGATGTCAGAGACACAGGTCTATAATTTAAAGTGATGTTTGTGTCGCCTTTTTTAAATATTGGTGTTATATTAGCATTTTCTACATAGTAGGTAGCAAAGGTAAGTTTAATAATTTTTTGAATAAAAGAGAAATTGGAAGAGCTAATGATTCCGCAGAATTTCTTAGTACATACGGACTAACTCCGTGTAGTCTTAAGATTTATTTTCATTAAGATTGTGTAAATCTCCGACAATTAATGTTTGAGTAATTGTATCATTCCAATTCCAGTTTAACACTGCATTAACTTTACTATCAAAATAAGGCAACTCATTATCATCTTCTTTCAAAAAAACTGATTGGAAATATTTATTAAATAAATTTGCTATGTCTTTTTTATCAGTAACTATGTTTTTGTTGTCTCTTATCGATTGTATTTTGGTAATGTTCTTTGTTTTGTTTTAGCATATGAATAAAATAACTTTGGATTAGTTTTGATTTTAAATGATAGTTGCTTTTCATATTCAATAGTAAATTTTTTTATAGATCTTGGTAATGATTCTACTAAGCATATATATACAGGAGCTATTCTAGACTGTTTTTGACAGCGTCGACCATATTTGGGCGCCACCCAAATTAAAAATTAAGTCCTTTTTTTTTAACATTTTTAGCAGCAAATATTTTTTTGCAAAAAAATACCTATGTTCGCAAATATTCCTGCTAAATTTCTATGTACTGCTGCCAAAGTTTTTTTTCTAGAATAGCCCTGTAATAAAGTAATAAAACAGTTTTTTAATGATTTTCATAAATTTTACTGATGATGAACGAAACATGTATAACAAACATTTAAAAATGTTTGTTATACATGTGTGTGTATATATATATATAACTTTTGTATCTTTTACACAGTGCTAGCAACAAAAATTCCTCATCCTGGTCGAAATCGAGTTATGCATAAAGCTTTTCAGTTTATGTTGGTTGTGATGAGTGTGCAAATGAACTTTCTTTCAAGTAATGTTGACTTAGCAACGTATAACCCCAAACAAATTATAGGTTTTTATTTTGTGTTTTTTATATTGAATTTATACTTATGATAAAATCTTACTTTTTTTAGTTTTTATTTAAATGGCCTTCAGTTAACTCAGCTTATGGCTTAGCCTTGAGCTTACTTTTTTTGATATTAATGTCTTTGATCTCTTAAAAACAAAAACATTTGATTATGGAATTACCATAAATTTGTATTTACTAAAAAGTATAAAAATTTTACACAATTCATTAGTACCGTATCTTTCTACATAGATATTAATGCATAAAAATTTGTTGACCAAAGTTTATCTTTTTTTTTTTTTTTTTGATTGTGTTTTTGGTTCTCTGACTTAAGTTAATTTGTTTTTTTTCTGAGACTAGTTGTTATTTTTCTTATTACATATGAGCACGCATATAATATTTTGTTTTAACAACTCGGCCATGTCACTTTGGATGTTTTGATAATTTGTGCATTTTAAAAATTTGCTGAAAAAACTTAACCTAGCTAAAAATGTTGAAAAAAAATTAATGAATTAAAAAAAAGGAAATAAATTTCAATCAATATGAACTTGAAAAAATAACATGTCTTTAATTAATTTAAAAGTGTTTCACATAATAAAGTTTAGAAAAGTTTTAATCCAAACTTTATTACTTTGAAACTTAATTACTTTTGAAACTTTGAAAAATTATTTAAAAACTTTGATACTTTCTAATGTCTACTAATGTCTAGTAAATAAAACATTAAAAAAAAAGTATTCATTAAAAGAATTTAGATCGCAATCCAATATCAAACTAAAGGTTGCGCTTTACATATAAGAGGTAGCATCATCAGTGATAGTTTGGACAGTACCAGTCATAAAAAATCCCCTCCCTCCCAAATATAAAGATTGTTCTTATTTTTTTTAAAGCCTGTATTGTAAATGGATTTTTAAAATCGATTTGTTTTACCTAGTGGTCAAAAGATGTATTTTAAACGTCTTTAATACTGCTGTAAATATGTAATGCTCTTATACAACTTAAATACTGTGCTGCTACTTAAAGTACCCAAATTACAAACAAAATGGTGATTTTACCTATACGTTCAGCAATTTATGTTATGCAAAAACTTTTATTCATTCAAATATTTAAATTGTTTTTATACGGCCTTTATTGTATTAAATTAATTATTAAAAAAACTTTTTTTTCAAGTAATGAATTTAGGTTTCTTTAGTAATTTTTATTATGGTTATTGTTTACTGGTAGATGGGGTGTATGGGGGAGCTGTCACAAACATAAGTGTTCGAAAAACGAAAACTCGTTCTATATGTATAAACTCTGGAGTAAAGCAGGGTTGTCCACTGTCACCTCTGCGGTTCAACCTAATACTGAATAAACTAGCAGAGAGGATCCTTAGCTGTCGTATGTCATAGATGGAATGTTAACATCCTGGTCTTTAATTCTCCACCATCTAACGAGGTCTAATGAGGACCTTCATTGACTGTTTGTTCTCCTTTACTGGAAGAACTTTTAAAACTGACGTTTTAAAACTGGGTTTAAAATTAAATTTAACTACAATGCGGAACTTTATTGTTTTTTTAAACATGCAAAGAGCCGTGGTCAAGTTGTCAATGGGAAATATTATGTGCTTGATCAGAAAAGATGTTTGGCTGTATGCCTCTCCTCAGAAGACTTGTACAGGGAATATATCTTAAGATAAACATCTTTATCTTTCCATTTTTTAGGTTAAAATGAATACAAGCCAGTTGACAACCAATTGAAATATTAGTTAACAATAATGCCTTTAACTTTTAAGCTATTATATATTGTATAAGGTGTGATATTTCTAAATTACAATTGCATAAAAAAATGAAATCACATATTTGTAACAGATTTAACATATATGATAATACAAAATGTTTCTTGTACTCATTGGTATTATATTACTTTATTCATAACTGTAAATAAACAATAACTAACAAATCATTTGTTATTGTTTATTTACAAAATAACAACTTAAAACAAGAGCTTGAGAATTAAGTTTCTGTCATTGACTTTTTGCCTTAGTTCTTTGTGATCATATGTTTATTGGTGTAGTGTTAGAGCTCTTGCTTTGTTTGCAAGAATTATTATTTATGTGTGATATTGGAAAGTTGTATTTATCAATACATTTTAAAGCTATTAATATTATAGTTTTTCAATTAATTTTTAGACTGTACATTAGAGTTTTCTGCAAAGGTTGGCTATAATGATTCAGAAGAAGGTACTGATATTGAAAAGTGGACTGAACTTTACAGAGTTGAAAACCAGCGTCGACCATTGAAGTGTACATTTGTTAGATTGGTATTGTATTTATGGTTATTTTTAGTAGCCTAAAGTCTTAACAAAAAGACATGTCTGGATATTACACTCTTTTATTTTAAATTAGGGTCCTCAATTAGATGGGCATTACAGACATGGTGATCATTTAGATGGATATTACACTTGTGATGATCAACATCTGTTTGAATTAGGTAGTGTTGCTCACAAGCACTATATTGTCAATATTATATTCCCTGCAACACAAAGTAATATGCATTGTTTAGCTGGCCAAGAAAATTTTTTTAATGGAGTTCACTTAACAGTAAGTTTTGTTATAACTTTTATTTGATAACTTTTTATGTGATTATTTTTCAGAAGAAAGATAATTTAAAAATAGCTAATGCATATATGAAAGTATTGCGTCTTAATTATCAAACATGTTGTAATATTTTCAAAAATCGTTCAACAAAAATCAGTAAAATTAATTATAAACACCATATAATATATAAAGATAATATTTTTGTGATATATATTGTTGTCATGCATCATATAATATATAAATATTATATTTATTGATTATATAAATGGATTATATTATTTTGCTTTATTGTTAAATATGTATATATCTTGTACTGCTGAGTTATGTGAGCAGTGTGACGTCATACTGAAATAGCCTACTGCCGGGGGCTTCAGTACATACATCAACTGACAATATTTTCTTCTTTTTCTAAAAAACCTATATCAACTAAGATGAGCAAAAAATGTGAGCAAGTGCGCATATAAATATGCTATAGTAGACACATGGATGCCCACAGGATTTTTTGATGTTTCAGATATGATATTTTCACTAAACTTATTTTATTGAAAGCTTTTAAAAAAAATTTTAGTCTGGAGTCCAGAGCAGGGTTTGTGACCGGGGTTGCATAAACATTTAAAAATCTTTTAAAAACATTTAAAAATCATTTAAAAAGTTTTTTTTTTTAATCAAAATTCTTCCAAATCTTTAGCCTTCCTCTTTCATGCTGTTTCTCTAATATAAACAATTTAGAGCATTTTTTTTTTCTTAACTAAAGCATAATACTTTAGCTAAAGCATAAATACAATTTGTAAGGTACTCTCTTCAAGTTTTCTTACTACCACTACCATTTTCTACTGAAACTGGTACTTCTCTACATGCTGATGCCTAAATTACTTTAATCTTTTCTAACAAACGTTGTTTGATACAATATTTTTTTCAAATCTGTCAAAGATTATGCCTTCTTTTTTTGTCTTGCTTGAGTCACACCACACATCTGGTCGTCTTCTCTTTTGGCAATTACTAATCCATATAAATACTAAAGTTTATATAACAATAAAAGGATATTGTATGCCTGCATCTAAATAAATAGCAAACAGATATATTTATATCCATTATATGTTTATATCCATAATATTTTCACCTTTTTCTGTAGCAGCCTAAGGCTTGCAGTGGCTTTTGGGTTTTAAGTCTGGATTTAAAATCCACAACTTTTGTTAGACAACAAAACACATTTACTGCAAAAAAATATTGCAATATTGTTGGCATTCCTATATTGATAAATAACAACCTTCTTATCCTCAGACAAAGTCTAAAAGCACATTGTAAGTGTAATTAGACCTGCTTTATCTGCCAAGCTTAAGCCACTCTCCCATTGTTGTAAGGTTGCATTTCTTTCTTTTTTCTACAAATACAATTATGGTCAATGTTCAAACAAGCTATCATCTCTTTTACAATAAACCAAAACTTATTCTTACTTGTTTCTTATTCAACAAGTTGCATCCTTTTACTGTATCTGTCCCTTCATGCTATAAAAACTTTTATTAATCCAGTTTTTTTTCTTGCACATCACAGGCTTTCACAGGAAGGCGTGCGATTTTATGTCTTTATATGACCATGCAAGTTACATTTTGCTATGACGGTTTGACCACGGCTAATTCAAAAAACATTTTAGAAATGCGCTAAATAAAAAATATTCTGAAAAAGTGAAATTAATTACATCAAAACTTCTTAACAAATGTTTTTATATTAGCGAAATGATTTAAAATAAAGTAACAATTTACTGAAAAGTTTTGTTTTTTAAATATAATTAAGTTGTATATATTTTTTTAATTTAAAACATATAAGTTGTTCATTTCTAAAATAAATCTTATTAAAAAATAAAAAATTGTTTTGTTTTTATAAACGATGACATTCTACGACTACGAAAGTCTCTTTAACAAATTTAAATATAAGAATGATTAAAGATAATGCATTTAAAAAGATAAACAAAATTTTAAAAAAAAAAAAAGTTTTAGAAAACCGTTAAAATTTTATAAGTTTGAGCTTAAATGCTTTTATGTTATCAAAACGCTTTTAATGAAGTAAAAAAAAACACTTCTAATTAATTTTAAAAAAACTGTTTATAAAATATTTTTTTATTTTATTTATATAACAATGTATTTTTTTATGAGAAATATTTAACTTTTCAACATATTAAATAAATAAAAAATATATAAAAATGTTGAAACAAAGATTGAAAAGGTTTTTTAATGCATAAATTAAATAGACTAAGCGTTTTAGTTTGATGAGTTTTGTTTTAGTTGCGTTATATATATATATTTATTTTTTTGTGTTTTTGCTTTAACTAAGTATTTTTATTATTTTCTCTTTCGTTAATATTTTTTATTTTTTTAAATTTTTTTTTCAGATAAGTTTACGTAAGTTTTTGTAGCGCGTTTTTAAATTTTAAAAATATGCTGTGGTCAAATCATTAAAACATTTTTTTTGTGTGTGGTCATATAAAGACATGAAGTCGCACGTCTTCCTGTGAAAGCCTGCATCAAAAAAACTATAACTATTAGCCATCTTCATGTTTTTTTTTTTACATACAACCTAGAACTTATCAAGTCTTCAGTTAACAATTTCCTAATATTTTTACTTATTCTCTATTTTAAAGTAACTCATAACTTAATAGTGGTTGCTTGCAATCTTGTTGGAAGTAAATTAGAGTTTAAAAATATATAAATTTATGCCAGTATTTAACAAATATTAAATGTAAGCATAATATGCATAGCATTATAATTTTTTTTCTCACCCCAGTTATCAACCCCTGCTAAATCTTTTACTTTAGCCAGGGCTGGGTTTGATAAAAGTCTCATTTTGGCCAGGGCCCTGGTCACTTACTATTTTTTCTGAATATAAAACTTTTTTAAGATCAGGACATATGTAATATGGCATAGTAAAGGTTAAGCAAAACAATATGATTCATTTATATAATATTTTATAAAAATAATTCAAATTCATAAATATAATTCAAATATCAATAAATGATATTTGTATAATATGTAATAAATGTGATGGTGATAAAATTGTTTTTTTTAGGAAATACATCAAAATGGTGGCTACACTATTTCGTTATTTGTAGCAAAAACCATTATGTTTCCTTTCATTGTTGCCGCTTTTTTGTTCTTTCATCTTAGAATTCAACGTGAAAATCGCAAACGTGTTCTTCTTGAAAAGTAAGATGTTTTTCCTACAATAAATAGTAGTTAGGAAATAGAGAAACTAGATGGACTCCTTAACTCCTAATCTAAGAAATAGAGAAACTAGATGGATTCCTTAGGTTTTGTGAAGAAAAATCTTTATAAAGAAAAGTTTTTTTAATGTTTTAACCTCCCTAAAAATGAGGGGGCATCCGTTAAAGTGCAAAAAATTTGTTTTTTTTTCCTTTTGCGTTTTTGTTATTGGTTTTTTGCTTTTTTTGGGGTTGGGTTTTTTGGTTTGATATTTGATTTTCTGCTTCTTTTTTTTTAGCATTAAAAAATTTTTTTTTTGGCATAAAATTCGGAACAGTTTTCTTTTATTCTAATATATTTTTAGTATATATTTTAGTACACCAATTTAACTTATATTTTTAATAAAAAATTAAATTAGCTATAAGTTAGTTATAAATCTAAGCATGGCGTATAGAAAATATTTATTTGTCATGTTGTACTTCTAACAACTGTGATACAATCATTATATATAGAAACTATTCTTATCCAATATGAAAATTGCCATTTTAATTTTGATAGCGTAAATATATTAGTATATAATACAATGCCAATTTAATACTAGACTTCAAATGTTCAAAGAAATAAGCAATCTATTAGGATTATTTATTTCTTTGAGCATTTGTATATTGTGTTGTAATTTAGTCTTACATTGTTTGTTATATTTATCAAATATATATATATATATATATATATATATATATATATATATATATATATATATATATATATATATATATATATATATATTAGGGTGGGTCATGAAAATTTTTTTTCTTGTTACAGGCTCTAAACATTTCTAGAAAGTTATTTTTTTATGTACAAAAATTAGCAGGCCCAATTATTATTCAAAAAAAAAGTTTTTCAAAATTATGTGATGTAGGTACTCAAATAAAGCGAAATTTTATAAAAATTTCAAAAATAATAACTTTCTCATATAAAAATTATTATTTTAGATTTTATTGCATAATAACTATAGTTTTTTAACTAAAAGTGAAAAAGGTGCATTTTTACATGTTTTTTAATAACAATTTTATATATATATATATATATATATATATATATATATATATATATATATATATATATATATATATATATATATATATATACATATATATATATATATATATATATATATATATATATATATATATATATATATATATATATTTATATATATATAAATATATATATATAAATATATATATATATATATATATATATTTATATATATATATATATATATATAAATATATATATATATATATATATATTTTTATATATATATATTTATATATATATATACATATATATATATATATATATATATATATTTATATATATATATACATATATATATATATACATATATATATATATATATATATATATATATATATATATATATATATATATATATATATATATATATATATATATTTATATATATATATATATATATATTTATATATATATATATATATATATATATATATATATATATATATATATATATATATATGTATATATATATATATATATATATATATATGTATACAAACCTAAACCCCCTTTAGAAAATCATAACTCTGTGTTTTCAATATGCTGCAGTTATCTTTTGTGTTAATCCTTTTTTAGATTTTATTGCAGAAAAATTACATTTTTTTTTTTAAATCAAAAATATAAATTTCTATAAGTTTATATATATATATATATATATATATACATACATACATACATACATACATACATACATACATACATACATACATACATACATACATACATACATACATACATACATACATACATACATACATGCATGCATACATGCATGCATGCATACATACATACATACATACATACATACATACATACATACATACATACATACATACATACATACATACATACATACATACATAAATACATGTATGTATGTATGTATGTATGTATGTATACAATTTTCTTCAAAAATAGATCAACTTCGTACTAAAATGAAAGAAAATTTTTTATAAATCCAAAGAAAAAAAAATTTGTAAAAAAAGATATCAAAAATATATAAATATATATACAAAAGATTGCTAAATTTGCATCCGCTAAGGTTGCTTCTCTTTATTGTGCTTGCTATTTTCTACCCCTGATTCCATCCTCTACCTCTACAAATCTATTATATGTGCCTGTATAGAATACTGTTGCCATATTTAGACTGGTTCTTCTAATGATGCTCTTTCTCTTCTAGACAAGGTCCAAAAACGCATTGTAAACATATTTGGACCTGTTTAATCTTTATATGAAAGGTCAGTACCTGGAAAAATTTTTAAGAATATCAAATTGTTTCTTTCTAACTGCTTTATTAAAGTCATCCTCGAAGGTCAACTCTCTTCTTTATTTATACTCCTGTCTTGACAAAATGTCTTCTCTTTTCGATCGCTTAGAAGAGACAGTCGATCTTGAATCTGATCTCACTTCTGTAACAGATTGGGGCTCATGGTGGCTTGTAAATTTTAACTCCAACAAAACTCAGTTACTTACTGCAAACAACTATCGTTATACTGTTGATATTTCTATATTAACGAATGGCAACCCTCTCACTGAGTCCTCTTCTTTACGTCTTCTTGGATTGTTTACTACTGACCTTTCATGTAAACCTTTTATATAAACCATTCCTAATATTATTTTAAAATTTATGGAAATACATTAACTTAGTACTCAAATGAAGGGAAATTTTATATAAATTCAAAAAAAAATTGTAAAAAAAGATAACAAAAAATATATAAATATATATAATAGGTTTCTTAGTTAGCATTTGCTATGGTTGCTTATCTAGCTCTACAAATCTATTATTCGTCCCTGTATGAAATACTATTGGGTTAGTTCTTCTAATGATGCTCTTTTTCTTCTTGAAAAGGTTCAAAAAAACTCAGTTGTTCAGTTGGACTTGCTCTATCTGCTAGGCTTGAGCTTTCCCATCGCTGTAAAATTGCAATTCTTTCTCTTTTCTACAAACACTATCATGGTTGCTGCTCAAAGGAATCTCTAGTTCCATCAACTAAATTCATTCTCACTTGACTTGTTATTCAGCAAAGTCTCATTTGTTAACTGTATCTGTGCTCATAAACTTTTATTCATCTATTTTTAAAGTTGATCTTTGCGTTTTTATCCATTTGTTTCCTCTATTCTTTTTTATTATAATATATATATATTATAATATATATCTTTTTTTTCCTAGTAACTCCCAACTTAATTGTGGTTGCTTACAGCCTTGTTAGGAGTGAATCAATATATATATATATATATATATATATATATATATATATATATATATATATATATATATATATATATATATATATATATATATATATATATATATATATATATATATAAATATATATATATATATATATATATATATATATATATATATATATATATATATATATATTATATATATATATATAAACAATGTTTATTGTGTTAAGATATAACACTAAAACCAAATAAGATATAATTTAGGAAGATAAAATTATTTAAGAAGTTTTTATACATCTCTAACCACCATAGTCCATGTCATTTTTTTTTTCAGAAATTTTTAAATGATAATGGCTTCGATAAAATTTCATGAATGATTTGAAATAACGTGTCAATAAAAAACATAGTCTGCCATATTACTTTTTATTTTTTATCAAATATCAGTGATTGATATTTTTTCGTTGTTACTTGTGTTAAGTTTCAAAGATTGATGGAGTGTAAATCATTTCGAATTTTCTATCATTAATTACCTACATTGTTCCAATTTGAGCAGAGATGACAAAAAACAGGGTTATTTGTTTCAAACTGCAAATATTGGAAGTATAGACAGTGCCATTGCATTTCAAGTCATCATAAAAAACAAAAAAAGTTTTACCTTATCTTTTTGCAAGTTTTCACATATGTTAAAGGTCTTATCAATATTTTAAAAACTTTTAACTTAAATGTTGAACTTGTTTTTTGACATTAAGTAGCAATATTTAATAAAAAAAAAAAAAGAGGTATATATTTAATTAATAAAAAAAAAAAAGAGGTATATATTTATTTAATACTTCAGCTAAAAATTAGTGTAAAACTACTTCTTAGTTGTAATTTAGTAATAAAAATATTATTTTTATTACTAAATTACAACTAAGAAGTAGTTTTTAGTAATAGCTTACATTCATTAAAACTTTAAAGATATGAATATATGAAATCATGAAATTAGTTACATTATGCTGAAATTTATCCTTTTTTTTTTTAATTATAGAGCCATTGTTGTTTTGAATATATCTACATTGGTACTTCTATGTACGATTTTTTTTTATGAGTATTGTTATATTTTAAATGTTATTTAAAAATTTTTTTTTTATTTCCAATTTAATACTTATTTTTGTTTTCTTTTTTTTCTTTTTTACTTAAAACACTTACACTATTTTTTGGTTATTAAAATCCTTTTTTTTTAGTGCCAATTGATTGGTTAACCTTAGTTGCTGATTTACCATTTATGCTTTTGGTATCTGATTTACGACAAGGGCTATTTTATGCAGCTCTTTTGATATTTTGGACTTTGTTTGCTGGCGAGCATATTATGGTATAACTATATGATATATGTGTTAATAGTTTTTGTCAATTTCATTGTTTTATTATTTAAAAGCTATTATATCTTTGAAATAACAAAATTATTGTTTTATCAGGGTAAAGCAGAGTATGTATAAACACTTAAGAAACAAATGCTAGTTGCGGATAAACTAATCTTCGTTAACCCAGTTTTTTATAAATTTCTTAAAATTCATTGATATAAGAAAATGAAAAAAAATTTTTTTTTTTTTAAATAAGTTATGACAACCAAAGTTTTAAGTTCCTTTTCACTCATAGCTAAAACTGCATTTCCTCCTATTTTGGATAATTGATCTTTCTTAAATCATTTCTTACCTTCTTTGTTTACATTAAACACTATTAATAATTGAAGTTAAGTTATAAAAATTTTTTTTTTTTTTCGAATTTATTACTAAAATTGCTTTTCTGAACAAGAAAAATAATATTTTAGATCAAAAACAAAATCATTAAACTGTAAACAGCATCACCAAATGGTAGTAATATATCCAATTATATAAATAGCTTGTTTGTATGCTATTAATAGCTTATTTGTAATACTATTCAAAAAGTTTATTTCCAAATATTTTAAAACCAGATTCTAAAATAAAATAAAAAATGCTGTCTGAAAAATATAAACTTTTTATAAATAAAGCAGATTCATAATAGTGCTAGATAAATCTTTTGGTGTTGTATCGCTTAAGAAAATACACAAATTTTATTTTTCGCAAACTTACTGATGCATTTTAGTACTTTTAATACATTTTGGTATTTTTAAAATAAGTTTTTTTTACAATAATAAAGCACAATAAATAAAAATGTTTTCTCAAAAAAAAATTTTGAAAAAAATTTTTTTCAGCTGAGATACAAGACTTCAGGCATAACTATCCTGTTATGCCCCCACTGTCCCGATATGCCTTGTCTACCCTATTTAAAAGATGTAGTTTTATACTTTTTAATTCATTTTATTTGATATATTGCATAGTTATTTTCCAAAAAATATATTTTCAATTTATTTTTAAGGATCAAAAAAAAAGAAATGACATTTTTGCATACAAAATTGAAATTGGATGCATATGCTGTGGGTGCTTGTCACTTTTAATTTTTGATCTTGTTGAAAGGTTAAATACATATGTTATTAAAGTTTATATATATATATATATTTTTTAATTTTCTTTTTCTTTAATTTTGAGATATTTTATATTTGTTTGTAATCTCATGTTAGTTTATTAGTTATTTTTTTTTAGGGGGACTCAGTTGGTTAATCCTTTTCATACCATATGGAAAAAAGATATTGGGGAAACCATTGCTGTATCTTTTCTATAAATATAAATAAAAAAGAATTATTTAATGGATGTCAAAGTACTTTTTATTTTTTACACATCATTTAACACTGATATATTTAGTTTATTTTTTATATATAATCAATAAGTAAATAAATAAAGAATACTCAATTTTATATATTTTCTAAAAATTTCATTTGTTAAAATTTTACTGTTTATGTGTGCAAATTGTGGTTTTCAATTTATTAGATATGCTTTTTTTAATTATTATTAAACCTAAAATAAATATTTACAAGTATATAACATAATAAACAAAAATTTAATGAATGAAAAAATATTTAACTCAATATTAGAGAATTTTTATTGGTGTTGCTGGCGCTGCATCAGTTTTTTACTGCTTATTTTTTATGCGATTACTGTGGCTTGTGCATCGAAATATTAATATTATGAAAACAGCACTCCCTGCAATGCAGGAACATAGGCGATTTTTTTATGAGGTAACTTATCAGAATTTTTAAATTTTATCTTCAATTTTCTTTGGATTTTTTTATTATGTTCGGAGTATTTTTTAAATTGTTTGGTATTTATTGTATATAATTTTAGTTCAATATATTGTATGGACAGAAGTTCATATAATATATGAACATTTAAAGTAATTTATATATAAATATGTGGAAAAAACTTTTGTGTAGAAAAACCTTATAATTTTAATTGTACTCATCTAATTATTTATTTTAATTAAAAAAATATTTGATTTGATTTTAATTTGATTTTATTTTGATAACTTTAATTTCAACTTAATTATTTTTAGCTTCTATTTTCCCATATAATAATATATTGTTATTAGTTACTTTTATCTATCACTTTTTTTTTTCCCTTTTCTGTTGCTGTTTATTTTTTATCCTCCCTTTTAAGTTGTTCTCTGTTTCTTTTTTACTATGTTCTTTTTAGTCACTATGTTTACAAATATATATTTTTTTGCCTCTAACATAAAACATTGAAAACAAACAAAATTAACAAAATTATTTTTATAAAATTGACAGAAATAACCAACTTTTTTGGTGAATTGTCACAAAATAACAAAAAAAAAAAAAAAAATACATTTTATGAGAAAGAAAAAAACCAGTTGATCTTCTCATAAAATGTCCTGAAAATTAAGTATTTAGGAAAAGTTTCATATACTGTACTTTTTTATGTTTATAAAATAAGATGTTTTATAACTTGAGTTTTACTGTGGATACTGTGTGTATATGTGTACTATTATGTATACAGTTTGTACTACTGTGTATATAATTTTTACTTCTATGTATACAACATGTACTATTTTACAATGTGTACTATTGTGTATACATTTTATACTGCTGTGTATAAAATATGTACCGCTGTGTATACTATGTGTACTATTATTTATACAAATGTAACTATTGTTTATGCAATGTGTTTTTTTGTGTATACAATGTGTACCACAATACAATCTGTACTACTGCATATAAATTTAACTGTCTATGTAATGTGTACCACTGTATAAAATGTCCACTATGTGTATACAATGTGTACTACTGTCTATACAATTTTTCAAGCTATAAACTTCTACATAAAATACAGGTAAAAATAATAATGGATTTTAATAATATTTTTATTTGTAATTAAATTATTTAAAAAAAATTTGTTTTTAACTTTTGTTTTATATATATATATATATATATATATATATATATATATATATATATATATATATATATATATATATATATATATATATATATATATATATATATATATATATATATATATATATATATATATATATCAGGGGCTGTTCTAGGGAAACAATTTGGGCAGCGGTATCCCTCAGCATCACTCTTGCCCCCTTCTTAAATAACAAAAATTAAGGTTTTCAAATTTTCAAAAAAATTGAAAACCTTTATTATAAAACATACAAAAAAACTACTTCATTTCTAGCTTTAAGATTATTTTTAAATATGTTTTAAATATTCCACTATGATCCATTCCCATTAAAATGACCCATAACATTGACTTTTTATAGGTAGCTTAACTAAAAATAAATATTGCACAGAATATTCATTTAAATATTTATATATAAACAAAGGTGAATTACCTTAAATTTACCAATTCGCAAATGTTTATTAAAAAAACTCGCAAATTCACTGCGACAAACTAATTTTGTTGAGTCTTTCATTATTTGTGTATAAAATAATAATTGTATGAAAGAGCATTTGGTGTAGTTAATACATATATAGCATTAAAATAATTATTGCTATATGCCAAAAATATAAAGAAGTTAGCAATAAAAAACCAAAATTAGAAATAAAGATTGTTCGTGTTATTAACCGTTACTAATTCAACATTAACAGTGGATGAAGGAATAAGCAATGACATTCGAAATATATGCATGATATTTTTATACTGCATGATTGCACCTTCTTTACACATGTTAATGCACCTCAGCAAAACTTGGGCTTTTGTGACAAATAAATGAAGTGTTTTCTTCAGCTTCAAGTTTGTTTTATAAATTTATAAAGTCTGTGAAATTTTGTTTAACTACCCAATTTTTTTAAGCAAGATAATAAGCAGCTTTAAAAGATTTAATGATCACTCTTTTCTTTCTAAATTCTTCTTTTACATTGTATTTTATACCCCTATAGCCTGTTTTAAAAGGTTACATTTTAAAAACATAGATTTTATTGAAAGTAGCGCGCTTGTGTTTGTTGCTAATAAAGTGTGTGTTGAATAATTCTGTAGGGTGAAAACTGTGTTTAACACATTTTGGTTTCCAAAGTTTATTGCTTGAAACAGAATAACTTCACAGATTTTACATAGCCAACCATTTTTTTGAAACGCTAAAGTAAGCTCATTCAAATTTATTTTCCTAATAAGCTGTGTTTACTGCTGATTTCTTTACTTTGATTTCCTCTATTTAAAAATTTTACTTTTTTTTTTAAACTTATGTTTGGTTTTGAACATAGAATTTTCAGTTTTTTTTTGCAATTATCAAAGAATTTTTAGTCATTTGTTTTTATTAAAGAATTTGTGGATGTGAAAAACAGTGTGTAAACAATTCGTTTTAATAGAAAACTCTGCATTGCATATCTATTTGATGATAAAACCAAAAATCAATTTGTATAAATTATAAGAAAATCATTTTGTAGAATTTGGTTTTATTTTATGATATATTGATTATTATTTTTTTTCAATAATTTCAATTAAACAACCTTGTGATTTAGTTTTATTGTTGTTCTATAATTTAATTTTATTGTTGTTTTTACATTACCAAAACCAAAACAAAAATACAAAGACATGCCTTTTTCTATATTCGTGTTTGGTTTTGCAGACATCTATTTCTAGACAATTAGATGTCAAATAACTGCTAGATTTTTTATTTTGGCTGATTGAAGTTGTTTTGGGGTGACAAGTTGCCAATTTTTTGTTTTCAAATATTTTGTATTTTTAAAAACTTTTCTTGGTTTTCACTGTGATATAGATAATTCCAAAATGTGAATATTTATTTATATTACATTTATATTTGTTTATATTATATTTATTTATATTATGTAAAATATATTTAAAAATATATATTAAAAAAAAACTGCTTGAATTTGGGGCTATTTAGAATAGCCCCTGCATGTAATTATATATATATATATATATATATATATATATATATATATATATATATATATATATATATATATATATATATATATATATATATATATATATATATATATATATATATATATATATATATATATATATATATATATATATATATTTACATATATATACACACATATATACACACATACACATACTTATATTTATTTTAACTGCTATTTTAGAATAGAATTTATAGGTTTCGAGTTTTGTTATGGGCAACCCTTGTGATTGTAGCTTCCACAGTAACTTGTTTTATAGTGGATCAACTTAATGAAACTGCTTGGAAGTTTGAGGAGCATTCTCTCAATGATTATGTCTTAGTCTCAAGTAAGTTTTTAAGTATTCTGAAAACAAATAAATAGTTTATTGTTTTATATGCAATTTATTTTTATCTACTTTTAAATAAAAAAGAATTTTGTAATAATAGAACTAAAAACTTTAGAAAGTAAAATTTTAATTTTGTCACTTAATAATTATTAACAATGGAAGTAGCAAATAGATAATAAATATTCTTCTCCAGTTTTTAGGTTTTGTGACAATTATAAGCAATAAAACTTGTTTATCTAAATTTAAAATATTTAAGGTAAAGCAAAACATAATCAATACTTGATGTATTTTAAAAAATAATTATGCATCCTTAATATTTAATAGCGTTCATTTATATTTAAAGCATTCATACTATAAATTATCAAGTATTTACTGTATTATTTATTTCTTAGATATATTTATTTATTATTTTATTTTGTTTATATATTTTTGTATAAACAAAATTATGAAAATATTCAAAGTTCTTGAAATTTTATTTGTGCTAAATACATATCAAAACAAATATTTTGAGAGATCATTAGAATTAAAAAGATATTAGAGATTTTAATAGCAAAATAATTAAATTTGTACCAAGTTTTTTTGCTGTTTTTGTTGTGTTTGTTTTCATAGTATTTCAGGGACTTAAATATTGGGATCCCGAAGCATAAAAGGTGTGGTTCGCAATCTCAGTTTGTACCTTTACGATTAGTTTTTTTTAAAAAGAAATATTTTTGCGTTGTTTTTTTTTTTCTCATTTTTTTTTCTTTTCTAATTTAGCAATTTTTTAGCCATTCTAAAAAATATAATGCTTTGTCTGAGGTTTTTATTAGGGGATTAGCCATGAATTCATGCTAAGTTTTAATGTTTACATAGTTTAACTTTTAAATATGGTTAAATAAGTATGATCATCTGGGTGCTTTGTGCGAAGATTTCCTACTTTTGTTTAAATTTCTTTTATTTACTTCTAATTAAAATTTACATCCAGTTAAATTTAGTATGGTTTACTTTATGGATAAAGTACATACTAGTAAATTTGCTAAACAAAATCAAAACGGTTAAATTACTCCATATTACTTTACTATAAAATATACTTAATATGTTAAGACACTACCTTCAAAAGTTTGCTATAAAAATGTTTCTATTTATATTTTATATGTTGTTAACACATAATAAGCTTATAAATAAAAATTATTTTAGCAAGTAATTTTTAATAATTAAGTACCATTGTTGTTATAATTTCATAATATTTATAGTGGTATCAAAGTTAAACATTTTCTATAAATATGCAAGTTGTTTTTTTGAATTCATTTTTAAAAAGAAATCTGTTTGAACAAGAGAAATTTAGTCTTCTAAAATTCAACATTATTTAAATAAGAGAATTTAATAAGACTTATTCACATAATCTTGATTTTGAAATTCTAAAAAATATTTTGAAAAATTCATATTTTTACGCTCTTTTACAATAATTATAAATTTTATTAAATGGAAACAATATCAAAGTTTGTAATATCTGGAAATATTGTAACGTTTATAATATTTACAGTAATAATATCAGATTTAGAAGATAGTGCAAGTGAGGAAGAAAGTTTTGTTTATATCGTAAACAATTTTGTTACTTTAATATTTTTTGTAAAAGTGTTATTATTTTTTGTTTCTTGAAAATAGTTTAAAAAGTAGAAACTTTCTATTGCAAATGTTTGTTCTATAGATACTTTTTTGTTAAAAGTATTGAGTTTTATGACGATAATGTGTTTGTCAATTCTAATTTATTAGTTAGAATATTTAACAATAAGTTAGAATAAGTTAAAATAAATAATAAGTTAGAATAGTTCTATTTATTAACTTCGTTTTACTTTTAATACACATGTTTTTAATGTTATAAATTATATAAAACAGCAATAAAACAGAGTACCAAAGTTATTTTATGTACAAGCTCGCATTATTGTTTTATTGTTGTTTTATAAAGCTTCTTACAATAACAATTAAGAGGAGCTAACAGCTAATATAAATCTAAATAAAGAAGAGCTAACAGTTAATATAAATCTAAATAAAGAAGAGCTAACAGTTAATATAAATCTAAATAAAGAAGAGCTAACAGTTAATATAAATCTAAATAAAGAAGAGCTAACAGTTAATATAAATCTAAATAAAGAAGAGCTAACAGTTAATATAAATCTAAATAAAGAAGAGCTAACAGTTAATATAAATCTAAATAAAGAAGAGCTAACAGTTAATATAAATCTAAATAAAGAAGAGCTAACAGTTAATATAAATCTAAATAAAGAAGAGTTAACAGTTAATATAAATCTAAATAAAGAGGAGCTAACAGCTAATATAAATCCGAATAAAGAAGAGCTAACAGCTAATATAAATCCGAATAAAGAAGAGCTAACAGTTAATATAAATCTAAATAAAGAGGAGCTAACAGCTAATATAAATCCGAATAAAGAAGAGCTAACAGTTAATATAAATCTAAATAAAGAGGAGCTAACAGCTAATATAAATCCGAATAAAGAAGAGCTAACAGTTAATATAAATCTAAATAAAGAAGAGCTAACAGTTAATATAAATCTAAATAAAGAAGAGCTAACAGTTAATATAAATCTAAATAAAGAAGAGCTAACAGTTAATATAAATCTAAATAAAGAAGAGCTAACAGTTAATATAAATCTAAATAAAGAAGAGCTAACAGTTAATATAAATCTAAATAAAGAAGAGCTAACAGCTAATATAAATCTAAATAAAGAGGAGCTAACAGTTAATATAAATCTAAATAAAGAGGAGCTAACAGTTAATATAAATCTGAATAAAGAAAAGTTAACAGTTAACATAAATCTGAATAGTCAACAGTTACAAGTGGATTACCACAAGTCTCAGGTCTGCATATTATGTATATCAAGCAAAATATTATAATACTATCACTATTTACACCATTAGTTTATTACTCTTAACAATATTGGTAATGCCAGTCATTAATGATAATTAGAACTTGTTTATTAACTGACAACTTTATTTATATTGTAGTTTATTTATTTATATTGTTTATCAACTTATATAACAACTTGTTTATCTGTGCTTTGGCCTTAATCGTCAAGGTTCACGAAAAAGAATGATTGGTTTGTTCTTCTTTGTTAAATTGTACAATTTTATTATCTTGTAGGTGCTTTGCATTTTGGTATGTTTGGAATGTGGTCTGGTTATGTTTTTGCTGTTACTATTTTTTATTCACCTTCTGGTCGAAGTACAGAGAAAGAGATCAAAGGTAAGCTATTCTATGGTTATCTAGTTTAAGAAATTCGATCATGCATATTTTGTATGTGCCACAATATTTTTCAATTCGACTGCTTAAAAAATTGAATATTTATGAGGGACTAAAAATAAAGTCCTAATTTTTTAAATGCCAGCTGTTGCACTGTCAATAGAGTGCTAGTTTAAGAATCAAATCAATTCAGGTTTAATGTCTGGTCATAAAAGTGACGGATGTCAGGTTGATAGCGGGAACTTCCTTATTAAATGCTCTTCTGTAGTGCTCTGTGACAAAACTGTTGCGTCTCGGAGCACCTAAAAAACTAAAAAAAAAAAAAGATACACATATTTTTAAATTTCTTTTTGATTTTTCTAATCAATTACTATAGTGAATTTTCTTAAGGCTTTTTAGGCCTTGTATGAAGCATTTTCAATTTATCGTATATTAGTTTTGAGTTCTTATGTTGGTATTGGTAAATTAATTAATTATAAAAGTTTTTCATATTTATTTTTGAGTTGTTGTTTTTTCAGTTCAATATCGACACTCAGAACAGTTATTAGCCTCAGGTGATGTCGATGCATCATTAAATGATAGCGATGAAGACGAGATTCAATTTCGGCACCCGAAAACATAATGCGTTAATGAAATTAAGTTCGGGTTTAGTTTAGCTTTACTTTTTGTAGGATAGCCATATATCATTAGATCGGAGTTCTATTAAAGTAGTGATTTTTTTTAAATTTTTTCATATGTTATTTATATATTTTTTATTACAACTGTAAATCTTAGGGAGATATTTTTTATTGCAACTGTAAATCTTAGGGAGATATTTAAGATTATTTAATTTATTGATTTTGCTTTTATTGTAAATTTTTTTTTTACAAAATTTTGAATTCACCTGAATGTTTTCATGCAAATGAGTCTTTGTTAAACCTGATCGTTTTGTTATGTTAGTCACAATATTTTTTTGCTCTTATGAATTTTTGTATTATTTTTGTACTTTTATATGGAAGTTATTTTGACGCCTTTTTTTTTGGTTTGATTTTTTTTTTTTTTTTAAAAAAAAAAAAAGATTGCAACTAAAGTTTAATACGAAATATTTTAAAATAAAATCAATAGTTATTATTTTGTTTTATAATTGTTAAATTATTTTTGATTTATATTTTGTGTCCTATTTTTTCTGTTTTTTATCAAGATTATTTACATTTATATAATATTTGTATTATATTTGCGAATGTTATAAAAATTTATAATAAACAAATATTAAACTATACGTGTCTTTAATGTTTTATTTTCTAAGGAAATATAACTAGTTAATTATCAGATAAAGAAATTTTTTTTTAATGGTTCTAAAAAAACTTAATTATTTAAGTTTTTTAAAAATGTTATTGCTGTGACAATTTCGATGACATTCCGGCACCAATTTAAAAAGTAGCATGGCTTTCTTTTCGAAATGTTTGCAATGATTTTTTGGACAACATAAAGCTGCAAACTTTGAATCTCTTATCAAAAACATGATAAAAAACTATGAAAGTCTTGGCTGTAATATATCACTCAAAATTAACTTTATCCTTATTTGTTTCAACAAATAAGGATAAAGTCTTTCACATTAAACAAGGTGAAAGATTTCATTAAGAAATCAGTAAGGTGGAAATAGTTTTTATGCGGACTTTAGTGCGTAATTCAAAGCTCGGTGTAGTTAAGGCACTTTTTGAATATTATAGCGTCTGATACGACAATGACATATTCCCGTTAAATGGTCAGGTCTTTGTATTATGAAAATACAAAAATTATTAAAATGATAAATTTTGCGGTATCATGAAATATAAATGTTTGTAGCGAAAAAACCCAGACCGAAGATTCAACTAAAAAAAAATCATCTTAAAATCACAATCGCTGGTCCAAATTTGAAAAAGATTTTAAATTTATACGTTTTTTAGGTGAAATAAACATTAAAGCTTAACAATATGATCTGTTCTGATTGTTTATTGGCAATTTTCCATAATTATAAGCTCTTTCTTGGTCGAAATTCTAGTATTTTTTGTGAAAATTGATAGAAATATTGTGTTTTGACAACTATATATAGTTAATATACATCAGAACCGATTAGAACTGGGATCAGTAGTAAATTAAGGAACTTTTCATAAGATTCTAATTAAATTCATGTTAATGCCGATGAGCGGAATTGATCTAAAGTCTCCAAAATAGTGTTCTTTAGGTTCACTATTACGGGAAGTAAAAAAAATTTTGAAAATTATATATAAAAGAGAAAAGTTTCTTTAAATATTAAAAAAATCTTAAGCAAAAAAAATTATTCCATCTAAAGCTTTTGTTTGAACACAATACGCTGATAAAATCATACTGATTCCAAATAAAAGTATTCAAATAATTTGTAAACAGCTTTAACTACACCGAGAGTCCTTTCTCAGAAGGTCCAGTGTGATAAATCATTCTTGAGACAAGATTATTTAACTTACTCGTCTTATCGCACTTTACATAACACTACCTATTCAATCCAAATAAAAATATCATCAAAAAAAGACTATTTATGCTAATGTTATTTATGCTAGTTTAGCGGACATTTTGAAGTGTTTTAAAAATATATTTTAAGACCAATAAAAAGCTATAAATTAAATGCAAAATTATATGTTATTTTATCTTTTAAAATATGGAAAATGTTTTTAAAATAAAATACAATTATCCTTACAATAAGTAGTTTTAAAACTAAAACCTAACTTTTTTTTAGATTTTAAAAAATTAAAAAAATTATATTTACAAAACGTAGCCTACAAAAATGCTGCATCAGGTTCTACCTTAATTTTTGTGTAATACCTTAAACTTAACACTTTACTAATAGTATAGAATGAATATGCAAAACAATAAAGTAAATTAAATTGCCCGTTGTCGACATCAAAATCATTAGTTCTTTATTTTTATTGCTAAATTTATTTTTAAATAGTTCAAATTTAGCAAAAAAAATGTAAATATTTATATCAAATCTTTTTTTATATATAATTTTACAGTTTTCAGTAATTTGTAAGCCAATTTAATAGATATTGACAAATACGACAATGAACATCAATATGCTTAGCTAATAGGATAAACAGGATAAAACAGCTAATAGGATAAAATAGCTAATAGGATAAACAAATAGCTAAACAGAATAAAACAGTATTAGAAAATTTTGAAAACAAATGGCCATAGTTGCTACTTATAGTTATAATAAAAATACTTAAAAAAAGTGGTTTTTAAAGGGGTTTTCTGAAGTTTGTATGATCTGCTTCACAATATTTTACGACGAAATTGTGCCTAAATAAAACAAACTTTACCCATTAATTATAAAAGTTATCTTTTTTTGAAAATTTCCCGAGTTGTAAACTTCCGGGAAATTTTCAACCCGACTTCTGATCATCATGTAAAAACAGTAAAACCAAAGTACGGTAGGTAACTGTTACTGTTTCCAAAGACTAATGCACAAAATAGTTTCAAAAGATCTACTATCTATTCCTTATACATATACGGAAAAAATGAATATAGACATAATACATAACATAACGCGCATGTTTTATTTTCATTTTTAATCGTTAAAAAAGAGACCTAGTTATCGAAATCCAGAACTTTGTACTAAAAATTACCTAAATCTTGTCAGTTGTGTTCTTAATAATGATAAACTGGAGGAGGATGATGTTGATATTAGTAATTTATAGAAACATGAAAAATCTTTATTAGTAAGTTTAAAAAAAAAGGAAGGTGGTATTCTATACTGTAAAATTGGAATGGAGCAATGAAAATGGAGCATCTAGCCAAAAATTATACAAAAAATATATACATATATGTGGGTACAGAATTGCAGTAGGCTTTGAAAAATAAAGAAACAGTTTTCCAGACAGCCTTAGTTCCACTAGAAATTGTTATGAACAATCAAACAGTATGGTTTAACAAAAACCCCTCCTGTACCCGTTTTTGTAGACCTCTTAACCTTCAGTACAAGACAGAATCAAAAGAACAAGATAGAGGAAGAACATTAAGATTTCAAGTACGAACTCAACAATTATTTAAAAATAATTCAGAAGTAAACTCTTACAAGATCAAGTAGAATGTAGATTTTACAATGTTTGACAGAATTATTAATGCCTTAACGAACATTACCTCTACTCAATCCTACAATGTTTGCGGAGCAAAATCATTGGAAATGATTTTGAATATGTGCAAAAAAGGAAGTGCAATAAATGGCATTAAAACTTGGTCAGTCAATTCTCTAAAGTTAATGTAATTAAAATCAGTTCAACCACTTTCTCATATGGTTGGTCCCTAAAATATCCTCTACGAGCTTCAAGAAGAGCAAGTCGAAAATGGCGAACAACTAACGGCTGTTCTAGCGTTGCTTGTTACAAGTTAATTGATAAAAATTTTTTTTTGGCCTAAAAATTAATGCAAAGCAAAGTGAATCTAACTCTGAAACATGGAATGACTGTGCTAGTCAAAAGTATCTTTAAAAACCAATTAGGAATTGCCGAGGAGATAATATATAAAAGAGCCCATCGAGTAGGACAAGTAAAAGAAGACAAGCTGCGAACAATAGTTATCAAATTTTTAAATTTTCATGAAAAATCATCTTTAGCAAAAAAACTTAAGGACAATTGAGTACTCATAAATGAAGATTACGCAAAAGAAACCTTAGAAAAACTAAAAAAGCTTTGGGAAGAAATAAAAAGACACCGAAAAGAAAGTAAATTTGTAGTTATCAAATATGATAAAATTTTTGTACGAAAGTTTCGGAAATAAGTTAAATGCTTAACTTTTTAACTATACTGTGTATTTTTTTTTCGAAGTGGTCTCTAAATGTCCCGTGTTTTTAAAATCATCGTGTTTTTTTACTAATAGAATAAAAAAAGTTTTTCTATAAGTCTTAACACTATTAAACACTACAAAACGCCATTATTCAAGTTTAAGAATATATAAATCATACTACATAAACACAAAATTATAAAAATGTATTCACTAATATTCTTTTTTTGTATGACAATTGAAAAAATTGCACAAAGTCTTACATTACATTGTTAACATTCATATTTTGAACTTTTTTTAAATTTTGTATTTGTAACATACCTCACACCTTTTTTGAGCATTAATCTTTTATTATCATTTTTAATAATCATTCATCAAATATATCTTTTCATTATTGATTCAAATGTATCAAATGTATAACTTTCTATCTTTTAGTCAGTAAATTTTTGCATTTTGATAATTATTTTTGCACTGAAAGAACTTTCTTATTGTCATACTTAAGATTAAAGTGAACACGTGAAAAAGTGAATTATTGAAACAAAAGCTTTTTAATTATGTAATAATAAATTTTGTGACAAGTAGACGTATAACTACGGTAAACCTCTATTCCGACGCTGAGCATCCTTAACGTCCGAAAACCGGGATTATAGGGAATAGAGAAATTGGGATATATAGGGATAGACGCTTCACAGTGTACACATATCAACTGATTTATTTAGCCATTGGCACAGTGAGTTTGCATACATCGACTGAGGGTTTGGATTTGGGCAGGTTGTCTTAAACTAAATAAATCGTCTTTTTGATGTTTGCAGACTTAAAGGAGACCGTCGGAATAGAGGTTTGATAGATTAATAGGAATAGAGTTTGATAGAGCTTACCTATAGTTACTGATGAACAAGAAGGAAATATAAGGAGATGTATAAAACCGTAATATTACAGCATGGACATTGAAACTTCGATATTGAAACTTTTAAAATGCAATTAAAAACAGATATAAAACTTAGTTAATACTTGTGAAGACATGTTTTTTTTAAAAGATAAAAAATATTAAACGAGAATGAAAAAACAAAAGAATTAAAATACATTAGTCAAACGTTTATAAAAAAAATTTATATGCAAAAGAACAAATTGTTTTGACTTGACGATAAATGTTATTTATGAACCATACTGATTATAAGGCATTTCACATATATTAACTATGCTAGTGATAGATGAGTGAATATAATAATACAAAATAAGTTTTGACAAAAGGTGTG